TTTTTGGAGCTTTACGTTAGTAGTTTTCAAACATTCAGAGACATCTGTGGGTCATTTAATTAACCACTCAATTTAGTGAACAGGGATCAGTATTTTAAAAGACAAAATCAAATATAGGAGAAACAATAGGAAATATTTGCGTTCGTCACACATAGTGAGGGTAAGTAGTGTTTATGTGCATCTAGGTATATGTACAGGTGCGTGTGTGTGTGGTGTGTGTGTGTGTGTGTGTGTGTGTGTACTGGGTCATATAAATTAAATGCATATTTTTACTATGACTTATGCTCAAAAATGTGTCAAAAGCACCACTACCTTACACCATCCTCTTTGGCCTAGACTCATCACTCTCCTTTGAACCCAATTTAGCATTTACTGGAAACATTCTCTGCTAAACACTGGGAACATAGAAATAAATAAATTTCTCTACCTTCAGAGAGCTCATACCATAAAAAGACTACAGAGGTAAGAATGACTTCAGTATGTGTTGTGTATTAGAGGTCGGTCACATTATGGTCAGAGTAGAGAAGTCAAACATAACTCTACCTGAAGGAGTTAGAACAAATTTTTTTATGGAGGTGACTTCAGCACTCAGCCTGGGAGGATGAGAATGAGATTCATGGCCAGATGTGAGAAAAGGGGGCATTTGTTCTAAATCAAGGCGACCCTGGAGCAAAGCAGGTTTGAAGTCAGGTAGCACCTTTAGGGAACAGCAGATGAGAACGCTTAAACCCCACCATGAGAGGGACCAGGGGGACAGGGGCTGGGAAGAGTGTAAAAGATGAGGCAGTAAGCGTTTGGGCCAGATGGTGATTTATGCTGAGAAGTGTAGTCCTATAAGCAGTGGAGTGTACCGGAGACTTTTAAAAGCATAAGTGGCAGAATCAAAGCTTTGTTCTAGGTGGAGGACTATGAAAGTATAAAGGATTGGCTAGAGTTTGGTCAGACTGAGAACAGAAAAGTTGGGTCATCTCCAAGTCGCCTTGATAGAGAAATGCGCCAGAACATAGCAGAGGGATATAGGAAATACATTTCCGAAATAAACTTTGTGGGAGTTACTAGAGCCTAGGGACAGACGGTGAAGAGGAAAGAAGCATCGAACTGACTTCCGATTCTCTGGGTTGGTGTTGACAAGGTGGAGGGGATGCCAGGAACCTAGGACAGGTCGAAGAGGTTAATCCTTTTGGTTTGGGGCATTCTGATTTTGAGAAGTCAGTAAGAAATCAAGGCCACTTTATTCAATAGACTAGACTTTGAGTTCATAAGAACAATCAAGTTTAGAGACATGACAGGTTAAAAATGGGCACACGTTATCTGTGGCTCCTTCCATCAAGAGATGGCGTCCATTTCCCCAACTGTTTTATTTTTTTTAATTGAAGTACCATCAGTTACAATGTGTCAATTTCTGGTGTACAGCACAGTGTCCCGGTCATGCATAGACATACATATATTCATTTTCATATTCTTTTTCATTAAAGGTTATTACAAGATATTGAATATAGTTCCCCATGCTATACAGAAGAAATTGGCTTTTTTTAATCTATTTTTATATATAGTAGCTAACATTCGTCTCCCCACCTGTTGAATGCGAGCTGGCCCGGTGACTTGCTCGGCCCAACAGAGAGCAATCAAATTGAGGCCGTGTGAATTTCAAGCTCAGGACTCCGGCGAGGCCCCGGGCAGTCTCCACTCACCTCAGGTTCAAATGCTGTCATTGTGTGGAGAAGCCAAGGCTGGCCTGTTGGAGACACGTGGGCCCCCCCACCCCCGCAACTACCACACCAACCACCAGGCATGGGAGTGAGGCCATCCAGCCCCATCTGAGGCTCCAGATGTCTGGCGACACCTGAGTAACCCCAGGAGAGACCAGGAAAAGAGCCTTCACTAGGCCCATCCCGAATTGCTGATGTGAACAAATAAAAAGCCTGAAGTGTCAAGCTGCTAAATTCCGATGTGGTTCGTTGCGCAGTGACAGGTGACTGAATCAGGTAACTCTCTCCCTTGGTTCTACTAACTTGCTGGTGATGACCTGTGCTACTGAGTTGGCACTTAACAACTACTCTGTCACTAGAAATCCTTTTACAAAGTTCTGACCTGTGGACTCTACAGCTAGATTGTAAATTTCTTTAAGACAGAAATTTTTTTATTCATATCCTCAGCCATGCCACAAGGGAAACACATGTTTCCTTAATATTAATTGATTGAAAAACTATGAATGGATTGTGTCATAACATAATACAGGGAATAAATAAGCATTGAATTGGGTGACATACAAGGAATAAAGACTTGGATCTAAAACATTACCAAGATGCCAGAAATAAATGTTTTAAAGCAAAGATTGTATATATCTGCATGTTGGCTATTTTACAAAAGCACCTACCACAGGTATGGAATGATAAAATGCGACGCTGTTCTCACACATAAAAACATTTTGAACATCAGAAACAGTAAATTGAGAATTAGAACATTCTTTTAAGTTCAAGGACTTTCTACACCCCCTTCCTTTTTATCCTTGGTAAATAATTTTAGTTTTACTCTTTTTTTCCCCCACAGTTTGTCTCTTTTACTGAACTCTTTTACCTTTGCTCTGTGAATATTTCCTTTTGCTGCAATTACACTTTACTTTTTTTTTTAAGTCTTCCATGTTTGTGACTGAAAGGCAAGCTCATGCCTCTTAAACAGCCCTCGTGTACTCTTAACGATAAACAAATGATGAAATGAAAATTCTTCCTTCCAAGGAAGGCAACATTCTCAACAGCTCCCAGATTCTTATGTGCACTTTTTTCCTACATCGCTGTAAACTGTGATTTCTCCTGGGTTCTGGGACAATGGAAGGGTTGTCTGCTTCTCTTGGCTTCTTAGAAGTGTGTGCTTGTTAAATCAAGCATCTGAATCCTTTTAGGAACCTAATTCAGATCATCTCTCCCTCTGACACACACTCTTGGGTTCTTTTAATGATTTAAATATCGCTTAGTCATAGAAAAATATAATTGGCTTTCCCTAAAAATACTTTAAAATGTCATTATGTTATCACCTAAAATATTGGGGAAACACCCGGGTGCACACACACAGACACACACACACACACACACATACACACACACACACACACACACAGGAATCAAGAACAGTCTGAGAATATTAATGTCAACAAAGGGGATTTCTATATTTCATTGAAAATCAGTGTCCCCATTGTGCTTGAAAACATACCTCTTAGGTGTGCAAAGAAATGCTATTGCTACTTTTTAAAAAATGCATTTCAGGATGACTTCACTATTAGAGTTGCTTGACAACTGATCTTCTCATGCAAACCCTTTTCCAGAATGTGGAAAATGTTACAGAGGGTGGATGGAGATTTGATCCATGGCGGTGGAGAAATCCTGAGGCAGAAACCAGCCAGCCAACCCCTCTTCCTCTCAGTTTAGTAAAGAAAGCCCAGGTTAGCACCTACAACCCGATTCCCTCCATGGAGGTGGGAAAGCCACCTAGTTTATCAATCTGTTGGAGAGCATCAAACAGTTAGGTCATGTGTTTCCATGTCAATCAGCCCTATTTTTAGTTTATTAGCAAAGTAACGTGGCTCAGCCTGTCTTTTGACTCAACTGTGAGTGAAATTGGCTAGATGTCAGTCACAGCGGTGAACTTGGCTAGATGGACTGGTCGACTGGGGGAGCCATCCAGATAAAATACAGCCCCTTAAGGACTGATTCTACCCAGAAGAGCTGAGCATGTGATTGGTTGGTTCAGGGCAGCAACGGAAGGAGAGATGCTTAACGTGAATAAATCAAGTCTGTTTTCGGATTTTGCTTGAATCCTTATCTGAACTAAAGCTCCCTCCACTCACCTCGCTCACACCATGACACCGCTCCTTTCTAGACAATTTAAGACTGTGCTCTTTATTTCTTCTTGGTGCATTTTGCTTTTTAACTATTTCACGTTCACCTCTGTGCATTCCCATTTCACATGCCTTTCTACCTCCTTTCCCATTTCTCTCCTACTTTTTTTTTCTAAAAAAATGACCAATTTTAGAAGATAGGAAATATGTTGTTTGAAGTCTGGGGAGTAACGAGCAGTGTCAAAAAGCCTACAAAGCAAGATTTCTCTCACCCATAGTCTCCTTTATTGATATGTTCAATTAGTCCTGGTTGAACAAGGCATACATGCTGGGAACACTTCCACTGCTGTCCTGAGCATGTGCTGCAAAGATAAAAAAAAAAAAATTGCAAAAGTGGCCTGGCCTTTAGGGAGTGCGATGACAAAAGTAATAACCAGACTTGCATGTTGCTAAGGCATAAAACAGTTTGGATTAATGTTCATCATGTGACTATTTAATTCTCGGCAAAAATAAATCCTAACACAGGCATTAGCTACCACCCACTATCTTCTACTGCAATCAGTTAATAAATGAAATGCTCACGCATTCATTGCAGTTTGAAAACATGAGACAATGGAGATGGTCATTTGAATGCATTTGTAATTGGAAACTTTCTGCAGGATAATCCTTTTAAGGCAGCCTGATTTTACGTATAGTTACTGTGTTCAGGGAAACATGGTTTGCCTGTAGCGTATTTAAGAGGTGTGTTTACTGCAGGCCTGCTGTATGATCAAGGCCCACTGTCATAAACAGCAAAGTCAAACATTAAAGGAAATATTCATGATTAGATCCTAAATTTCATTAAAATTAAAACACACTTGTAAAAACAAACTATAGTTATGTGATATACGACGTGATTCTCTCTCTCTGTATTTAAACATATGCTTTGTTTCACAAATATTCCTTTTATTTGAGGAAAACATACACAGACAGCAGAATTCAGCTCTGTGCCACTTAAATTCATTACCAGGAATTGCAGTTTTCTTTAATTACTGATCCTTCTTCATAATGTTGACCATCTCTGTGGCAACCTGTCAACATAACATGGAAACAAGTGAAAATTTCCAAATGAAATGATAAAATGCATTCACATAACAAGTAATCTAAAATCGCATTTAGTTTTTCAACTCTGAAAAAATATCTGGTGCCAATCTGATGGAAATCCATGTGGGGTTTGCGTTGAGGTTTATACATTGAATTCTTCTGGGCTTGCTCCATGAACTTCTATCTTTACACTGCGTTATGTTCCAACTAAAAGGATTTCTAAAGCATAAAAACTAGACTACCAAGGCGTTAATCACTAATGCACTTGAAAAATAATTAATGTATTTAAATAGGTAATGTGATAGAATTTATGACATTTCTCATTTTAACAGATCAAATCAAGTTTCATACGTGAATATGATTAATTGCATATGATTAGAGTAAGGAACTCAAAGTTTTGGACCAAAGTATAAAGCCTTTTTCATGGAATTCACCTTAAAAAGATCGACCCTGTTTTTCTCTTCAGAATTTGGGTCAGGAGAAAAATATTAAGAGTGTAGCCATTTGTGTTCCAGATCCAAATGTTTCTCAACTATCCACTGAAACACATTTTTGATTATTTTACCAGATTATATAAATTACTCAAAAGAGAACAAGTGTGAATTATCATTATATAGAAACCAAGCAGTGAGATATTGTGAAAATAGTACCGTGGCTACAAATTAAATCCCTTTTGAAAATATAATTTAGACAAATTTAAAGTCCATGTTGAATTAACAAAAGCAGCAAAGTTCATTACTTTGATGTGTGAAAACATTTTTGACAGAAACGTGTAGTTGACAGATCACGTCAGTGGCCCCTAAGTAAAGTGAATTCTAAGTTTTCACTCATACAATCCTGGGAGAAATCTACAAGTTTAGAAATCATTCCAAGGGACCTGGTTTAACTACTGGCCACAATGTCACAAAAGCCACTTACAAATCAGCCACCCTCTGATTTTTCCAAAAATTGTGCCACAGGGAACATTTTATAACTGCCCTCTTCAGTAGGCACCGTGTTCTTGCAGTTCAATATTTTGCTTAATGAATCTAAAACCTCCATGTATTTGCATCTCTTTGCATCTATTTTCCTCTCTTCCGTGGATTTTTGACATTCTGCCGTCATGGGAAGAGAGAAGGTGACCACCTCTCCCCTGGACCACAGGCATCCTCTCTCCTGGACCACAGGCATCTTTGATGCAGCAAACTCAGGGGTGGGGGAGGACTTAACTTTAAATCCAGGTCAGAGTTTTCATTACTACCCAGAATCAAACACTTTCAGTAAATAAATTGCTATGTTTACAGCTTACAAAGACCTGAAAGGAGCAACAGAAAGTTCATGCAACAATTCAAGTTTTATTCAAAGTCAAGGGAAGTACTTCCCTGGCTCGTTTTAAAGGGAGACGTTTGGGGGGTGGGGGAGTGGTGGCCGAATCATGCTTGTCCAACCTACCAGTCGCACAGATAAAGGGAACAAAAGTCCTAATGAAAAAAGGCTGTCCCTTCTCTGACCTTCTCTGTACCCCAGCTCCTAATTTTGAAGTCAAGAGAATGCTGTCACCAGGCCTACCCCAAGTCAGTAGTACCACATCTAGTGTTAGCAAACCTTCCATTTCTTGATCTTCCTTCCTTAACATCAAGTCACAATTGACACTGAGAAACAGTGGTTGTGGTAATCACACTTGAGAGTTGGCCTCTTGAACAAAAACTATAATCCGTTCACCTGAGTCTGGCCAAGGTGCACACAGGGTGGAGTGTGAGCCTCTACACACCCCTTGAGACACTCCTTCCCAACTCCAGTGTGCCCCACCCCATTCCCTGCATGACATTTAGAAAGATCTTTTCAAATCTATGTCGTATCCCTGCTTAAAATCCTCAAGGTATTCTTCATCAAATTTAGAACAAATGCAGATTTCTTACAATGACCTGTAAGCCTTTATCCTAGAATAAAGCCAAACTTCTTACCATGAGCTATAAGACCTTATCCAAATTTTCCCTTCCGTAATCTTTGTCCTCATCGCTCCTGTTGTGCTGGCTGAGGTGGGGTTCCCAGAGGGATGACGCAGTTGCACAATACTAATAAGCTGAACATAATTTGGAGGCCAAGCAAATGGGACCAGCTCTTGGATTGATTTTGGAGAACAAGCAAGAAGAGGAATCAAGCATACCTCATTTCTGCTTTGCCTGGGTTTGATTTAGACTAACTCTACATCTAAATCGGTTGGACATTCTAATGGAGAATGTCAAGTAGGGTAGTCACTGATGTCCACAGTTAAGTCAAGACCGAAGCATGATTTTGAGAGACAGCAACACATATTTTTAAAGCCTTGAGACTAAATACGAGTGTGCTTGAGAGGGTATGTGTAGGTAAGAGAAAGCCGTCCAGGACTCAGCTCAAACACTGTAGCCAACAGACACTCAGGAAACTGGGGAGGAGTGACCTGTGAGGAAGTAGGGAATCCAGAAGAGGGTGGAGTCTTGGAAAGCAAGAGAAGAAAGTGTCCTGGACAGGCGGAAGTGGTCACTAGGTATGGTACTGCTGAGAGGTCAAAAAAAGAACAGGTATCTGAATAGTGCGTCTGGAAACGTGGAAGTCTTCAACAGCCCCGCTGAGATAGAGTTTAGTAAAGCAGTAGGGAACGAGGGCTTGAGGAATGAGCTGGTGAGAGACTTGAGACGCAGGAAGTAAAGGGCTCCTTTCAGACAGTTTGCCATTCAAGGAAAGAAGGAAACGAGATAAAGAAGGAAATAAAAAGTTGGTTAAGGACATGGAGTCGAGGGAGGGCGTTTTCAAAGTTGGGAGCTACAAAAATACTTTTGTAAATTGATAGTTTTGTAAAATGGATTGATCTCAGAAAGAAGGGGGAAATGATGCTTCAGGAGGGAAGAATCAGGGGAGAGGGGAGAAAAGGAGAAAGAGGGAGGGAAGGGAGAAGGAGGGAGGGGCAACAGTAAGGGTGAAGATCTTGGAAAGACAAGAAAGGATGGGACTCAGAATTCAAGAGGAGGAATCCCATGGTGGGAGGGCAGAGCGCCTGCCTAGCATGCTTAAGGTCCTGGGTTCAATCCCCAGGACCTCCCTTAAAAAATAAATAAATAGCCTATTACCCACTCCTTCCTCCCAAAAAGAAGGGGAGAAATCTACTTGATGTAAAAAGTAACTAAGATGGAGGTAGGTTGAAAATTATGATCCTGGAGAGATGAGAGATTTCCTGGTGGCTTTATTTTCTCAGGGAAAAGTGTATACAGCACCTCAAAGCAAGTTAATCAAACTGGTTCCCCCTTGATGTCCATACATACATACATACATATGTAAAAATGTTTAAAGTAATGGCTGTAGAGATTAAAGGAGTTTTGCAACTTTAATAGCCACTAATACAAAATGAGGCAAATCAGATATTTGGAAAGTGAAATCAGTCTATTGATGTGAGAAAAGATGATAACATGAAATAACTGATTTTAAAATACTGCATCTTGATGTATGATAATATCCGTGCTGGTCCAAACTTCACTTTGGGGAAGGCAGCTGGATGCTCTAATCAGGAATGCGCATCGCAGGGGCGGTCAGGAGCATTTACCCTGAAAGGCTGGATTCCAGGGCAGCTGCTTACAAGTGCTTCCATTAGCCACTTTTTAATGGACACTAGAATACCCGTATAATGAGTGTCAGAAATGGGCTTTCATTGGTAAAATTAGTGGCTTGTTAATCAGCATAATGGATATAAAGTAATCAACTCTTATTGGTTAAATTCACAGCATTCAATTTACATAGATAGCTGAAAGGTGTTAAAGGCGGATCTCACGCTCTTGTATATCTTTTAAGGTCAGAAGCCTTCACATTTAGACCTGCTGCCAGGGAATTGATCTCTAAAAGGTCCAGCCGCGGGGTAGGAGGGTTTATCGTTCACTGACACCCTCTGTAATATTCTCACGTGGGAAAATTCCGAGAAATCTTTCAAGCAAGGCAGATGTGGGGACATCTAACAGGGCAGGGACTTGAGGTTTCTTGAAGCTTGCAGAGGTTGGAGGAATTGGATTGTCTCCTTACCGATATACATAAATATTTTTTGTAACCATCAGTATGTATGGGAGAGCTTGGACTGTGATTTGTCTTCATGGTAATGTGGTTAAGGAGGTGGTGAAGGAGTAAGTAACCCTCAGTTGATTCAAATGGGTGGGTGGTTTCCATACATTTTTTTAACCCACGTTGGACATAAGAATTGTGCATCAGCAAATTAGCTTATGTCTGTTCACAGCAGATGGTACCTTAGGCTCTTTCCTTAAGCTCTGCTACACCAGAGATTCCGTCTGGAAAATCCGCTCTGGATCTGTTTCAAAGATGATCATTTGTTTTCTGTATCTGATATTTGAAATCCTCCAATTTCGGGGAGTTAACCAGCAGAGATGGGGAAAAAAAAAGCCCAGAAGGAAGACGCTTCCTGATATGACCTAGATCCAGTCCATACAAAGCGGATATATTTATTTTTTAAACCTTAAAATAATATATATAGTTTCAAGTCCCAGGCTTCAAAAGAGTTGCAGTATAAGAAACTAGATAACACCATGTAACTAGGTAAGTGAAAAACATTTAATAAATCAGTGGATCAACAACTTAACATCTCAGAGGGAGGTCACTTTATACACGCAAAAAATTAATACAAATAATGTAGCATTGTCTATTTATTTTAGCTGATTTTATACAATTTTTCAATATTGTGCTATTTCCTTTCAACCAGCTTCTTTCATAAGGAAGACAAAACAAAAGAAAAAAAATTATCTTTATGAGAGCAATTACAGTCTAATGTGAACTTTTTGCTATGAAATAAAATGATTAATTGCATCCTTCCATAATGAAAGAATATGGAATAAAAACTATAGGAATAAAAACTGTACCTAGAAATAAGTTCTAACTAAAACATGAGCCTGAATTAAAGCCTCGGCAAAACCCTAGCTTTCAAGCAAAACCGGACATTGCAGAAGTAGCCACTTCCTTCCTAAATGGGTCCTATGATTCAAATAAGATCAGTTCAAATACGCTTTGAACACAGCTTATACAGAATATTTCTACTCAGCACCCAAGCAGCTATGCTTACTTGACATCTTTCAATGAGTTCTCAAAATAGGATAAAATCTTAAATCCTTAATATGACCTGTAAATCCTGACAAAATCTGACCTCTCTATTCACTCACCTCTCATATCACCTCATATGACCCTCTGCTAACCATTACTCTCTAGAAATGGTGGCTTCCATCCAATTTCCAGACCTCGCCAGGCCTGGCTCTTAAATCTCAAAGGCCTTTCCATCAGCTCTGCCTCAGTTCCCCTCCCTCCTCAAGCCTCAGCTTAAACGTCTTCCCTCACTGACCTCCCCCACCGAGGCTAACGTTATGTATCTCTTTACACATTAACGTTATATTCTGACATACTTCCTCACAGCACCCTAAACATTCCTTTCAGAGAATTTAACACAACTTGCAATTGTACAGTGAGTTTGTTAAATATCTTACACACACACCCCCCACACACACACACACACACACACACACACAACTTGACTGTCACTTCAGTCACAATAAGATCTTATCTTTTCTTCCCCATTGTTGCCTGGCACGGTGGAGATAGTCAATGAATGTTTTTTGATGAATGACCACACCTCCCATTTCTAATAGACTATCTTTCCATTTTTAGGGTGAAATAAATGTTGGCTGAGCTGTTTATTGGTAAATCAAAGGCCTCACATGAATGGCACTAATGTGGAAATTTAGACATAATACACATGTGTTTGAAGGAGCATTTCCTCAGTTTTACAAAGAAGATAACATTATTGAGAATGAAGGTCACAGTCAGCATCTGGACTTTGAAATAAGGATGCAAAATCCCAGCTTATCCTAAATGGTCCTTTAACTGTGGTTTCCAGCCTCCAACACCCACTGACAGCGGTGTGACAGTATTCTCACTAAATCTGCATTTCTGCCTCATATACGTGGAGCATAGTGTTTTGTCTTGTGGTTTTGCAAATTTTGGAAATATTGTTTGCTCAGAATCTACAGCCATTCTACTATAATTAGACCAATGCAGTAAATGCCACCATTCTCCTTATGAATTACTTATATTTATTCACTCAGTCTTAGACTTTTAAAACTACTCTATATGGAGCACTCTTCTTGTGTTTAATAGTTTAAAACCCCAGACTGGGTAAATGAATCCAGACAGAAACACATATGAAGAAACTGTTCGGTATGACTCAGGCAGGGAGGGGAACCGACTTTATATTGCTTTTATACCATTTTCCTGGCATTGCTAGTTTATAGGTTCTAATGCTACGAAGTCCTTCAGGCCCAGGAAATAATAAGTAAAATGTTACATAAATCTGTGGATGATCGGGCCTGGGACTTTGATGAAATTCTCTAAGAGATTCCACTCAAAAAAAAAGCGAGAGAGTCCTTTTGTCAATACATCTTACAAAGGAAGAATTTTAAGTAACCTTTGTAGAAGCGAAGTGAGTATTCGAAACAGAATCTAGACCAGCCTTCATGGCTGTCACACCAGAACTTTTCTGAACAGGCTAGCTCATGCGATGTTGGTACCCTGCCTTTAAACCAAAGCATGTCAACAATCCAAAGAAATTTGTCCTGGTGATTGAAAGACACCTTAAGACAGGAAGGAAGGGAGGGCAGGAAAGGGAGGAGAAGGAAGGAAGGGAGGGAGGGAGGCAAGGAGGAAAGAGAAATAGAGAAAGGTTGACAGATCTCGTTATAAACTAAGATAACGCTTGAACACATCCCCAAACCTTACCTTCTGGATGCCAAGGCTTTATGTGAAGAGGCCATTCTTTTTCTTCACGGCAAAATGACTTATAATCAGGACAGCAATCAGAATTTTCCCTTTCGCAGAATGTGTCACAGTAACACAGCGCCTTCGCCTCGTAGAACTGAGTGACACAGTCATCATCCCTGGCTTCGCAACAACCAAAGTTTCTACAGTACTGCCCTTCGAAAACGACTCTTTTGAATCCAGTGCCTTCCCGGAGGGTGTGATTCCTAGTGAGATCAGCTCCTGGTTCCACGTCTCTTAGAGATAAATGCTGTCTCTCCATCCACATTTCTGTGATAAGATAAGAGAGGATTAAGATCATATATCTGGTCCACATTCTCAAGAGGTCAGATGTGGCTCCAAATTTTCTCTTCTACTCGATAACCTTGGCCTCAGAGCTTCTCCTCGGAGCCTGAATTCTAATCATCAAGACAACTCAGCCTGAATCTTGAAACGGATCCTTTACTTGAACCAAGCGTACTTCTTGCAGTTAAACATTAACCGAGAATTTCAATGTTTGCCCAAGATAATGTAAGTGTTAGAAATAGACGATCGCCATTCCTCTGAAGTTAAAAGTTTATACAGGGGGAGGGTAGAGCTCGGTGGTAAAGTGCATGCTTAACTTAGTTAGCATGCACCAGGTCCTGGGCTCAATCCCTAGGACCTCCATTAAAATCAATCAATCAATCAAAAAACCTAATTACCTCCCCCCTAGAAAAAGCCCTGAAAAATTCATGATATTTCACATCATGGAAAAAAAATGTCCATCGCCATACAAATAAATACGTAAAGTCTTATGGGTAAGTGATACACTGAATATTGCCTGCATCCAAAATAATCTAGATTCTTAAATCACAAACCTCTCTGGAATACACATGGCGCCAAATGATGGCTGCAATAACTCCTGGCAAGAGGTAGGAAATTCAAAAGTCAAAACCACAATTATTCATTTCACCGACTTGCACTGCCACTAAAATTCGGGCTTTCGTGAGGTTGCCTGCTAGGAGCTGTCATGTCAATAACAAGTTGCTCTAAATCATGCCGAGTCACACGCGGGCTTGACTTCCCATCTGTACCCCTTCTACCTACCAGAAACATTTTGATTTCAAGGCCTAGTGGCGCCTAATTCAGCTAGAAATTCCCTGACAGTGACGTAAGTTTTCTCCACCTGAATCTCTGCTTGACATCAAAGCAAGAACCTGCGGTATCCAGAAGGCAGTGTAGAGTCAAGAAAAGTCAGTGCTCTGTGCTGAACAGCTTCAGTGGGGAGGGAGTCGAGAAGGAAATTCAAAGGTCAGAATGTATTTAGTGTGTCTGTAGAGCTGCACATTTACAGTGGGTTTTGCTAGATTGTATTTATTCATTAACTATAATAACTCCCTTTGGATGGGGGCTAAGTAACCAGCAGACGATGATTCAGCGAGAGTGGTTGGGTTGCCTACTAGAAAGGACTTGCCCAGACAACCAGAAAACCTGGACTCTGGTCCCTGAGCTCCTGTCTAATTGGCTTTGTGATCTCGGGTTGGCAATTTGCTTCTCTGGTCCTCCATTACTTTCCTATAAAAGGAGGGTCTTCCTCTCCAAGGTTAATCCATAATTCCAACCCATCCAGCTTGCTCCCTGACTTTGCTCCATAAATTATTGGACTCACAATTGTATCCTCATTGTTTCACCTTCCTCTCAGGCTGTCATCCAGGGCAAGTCTCTTTATCCTTCGTTGTTTTCCTTGTACATCATCTTGGTATCACTCGCCAGAATCCCCTTGTCTCTCCATTCCCAAAATGGCTGCCTTCACTTCCTTGCCATCCACTGAGTCGCTAAACTCCTGCAAAGTGCTGTTTCCATTTCCGCCAGTGATCGCCAGGCGTGTCCTGACATCATTTCCCACTAACCTATGTCCATCTCTATTATACCTGAATCTTCTGCAGCATTTAGCGCTTTAGACCAAACTGGTCAAGGAGTTAGACCAATGGAATTCAAATCCTAGTTTCCCCACTGCCTAGCGGCAGGTCTTCGGGCAAGTGGCTTAGTTTCTCTACGCTTGAATTTCTTCATCTGCAAAATGTAGACAACAATATTTATTACCACGTTGGGTGGGTGGGAAATTTAAATGAGATCATCCATAAAGTACTTAGCACATCACACGTGTTAAATAACTGTTATTTACCATTACAAAGTTTTCCACCTAAAAACTCTTTCCTCCTGTAAATTCTATGCTTTCATTCATTCTTTCCTGCTTCTTGTCCCATTTTTCATAAGGTTCCCAATATATCTGCTTACTCTTAAGCTCCTTTCCCTATGGTCCCTTAAAACATGGTTTCACCAACATTCTCAATCCTTTCCCCACCCTGGTTCTTTTTTTTCCTCCACCCTGGTCCTCACGTACCATCCTCCTTCAAAACTCCCAGCATTGAATCAACCTAAACTTATCCTGTGTGCTGATATATACTTATTTAGAGATCTTTTTTCAAAACATGGCTCTTTCATCTACATGAAAATGTGGGGATAAGGTCAACCCTTTCCCAATGATCTCTGCGCAAGTGGAAGGGCCCGTCTTAGCTTATGGCAATAGCCTTTATTGTCTCATCACTTATTTCAATGTACAAAATCGGAAAAAAAAAAAAAGCTTGGAGCCTGAGAAATCACCACTAGTTTGAAATAATCATGCTAAATGTACAACACTAGCACACCCCGTGTTTAAAAGCCCTTTTATTTACAGACCCACCGATTCACTTCTGAACTCCTAGCCCAGTGATGGACACACTGACTGCAGAATAGAATCACCTGGGAAGTAAAAATTACACAAAATAAAAGTAAGCTGGTCTTCAGGTCTTATCCCCCAAAGTGATGATTTCATCAGCATAGAAGGAAATACAGGTAAGCTCAAAAACAATTGCTAAAACCACACAGTCAGAAACTTTCCTTTTTTTCAATTGCTTTCCCTCATCTTTTGTCTATTAATTTCAGTGGTACAGACACCGGTCTTCAAGTATTTCATGATTTGTTGTGTGCCCTTTGGATTCGTTCTTACTGAAAAATGAGTTATTCCATACACTTGTGCAATACTCATCCATTCCTTTATCACTCTTAATTTACAAAAATTATCTCTAGTTTCCAGCCCATCATGTCTTTTCATTTTGACACATATTTTATACTTATCTACTAGGATGGGGCTAATCATGATCATAAATTATCTCCATGCATGGCAGACTTCCTGTCTACGACTCAAGAAACACAATAACTAAAACGACCTAACGTGACTACTAACCCCACCTACTGGTGGTGAGTGCTTTTAATTGCAGCATAATTTCATTCACATAGTGAGAGTCCATGAATTGAACATTTATAAGTAGAAAAGATTCACTACTAGGTGTACAACAGGCACTCAATATTTATTAGTTTCCTCTCTATGTGATGTCCTTGCTCAGCCCCTCCCTTGCCTTTGGATAAGAAATGCATTAGGCAGATCTTGACTAATCTTAAATTCTAATCTCTAGCGGGCTATTAATATCCAGCAATTGTATTTCTTCTTTTTGTAGAACAGAAGAGAGTCTGCATTCATGCTTGGGGATCCTGAGGGCATTCACTGCCCGTTTACTCCCAAGAGATGGTGATAAAGACCAACTAGAAAACGATTCTGTCCCATCCGGATAGAATGAGAAAGATGAGACAAAACACTGGGTGAGATGGATGTGTGTGGGTCGAGGGAGGAATGTTGGTTCCAGGAAAGGACAGGGCTCCCTGCTTCTCATCAGAAACAGGCACCTTTCAGTGTGTTTTACAGGGAAGGTGTGTAGTGGGTCCTTCCCTCCCCACCATGAGGCAGGAACCACAGCAGAATAGTGAAGCTGGGTTATTTATTATTATTATTATTATTATTATTATTATTATTATTATTATTATTATTATATAGTCAGTTACAATGTGTCAATTTCTGGTGTACAGCATCATGTTTCATTCATACATAGACATACATAGATTCTTTTTCATATTCTTTTTCCTTATAGGTTACTACAAGATACTGAATATAGTTCCCTGTACTGTACAGTAGGACTTTGCTATTTATCCATTTTGTATATGGTAGTGTGTATCTGTTAATCCCATATTCCTAATTTATCCCTCCTCCCCTTTCCCCCTGGTAACCCTAAGTTTGTTTTCTGTGTGAGTCCATTTGTATTTTGTAAATAAGTTCATTTGTGTCCTTTTTTTTTAGATTCCACACATGAGTGATATCATATGGAATTTTTCTTTCTCTTTCTGGCTTAGTTCACTTAGAATAACAATCTCCAGTTCCATCTCCATTGTTGCCAATGGAATTATTTTATTCTTTTTTATGGCTGAGTAGTATTTCATTGTATAGATATACCACAGCCTCTTTATCCAAAGCTGGGTCATTTTGAGCAGCAGCCCTAGGGAAAAGAGAGAGAAGGGAAGTGTTTCCATTATTACAAACACACACAAGGGAGAACAGAGACTAACAACTATATCTAAAATGTTTCAAAGCTCCAAGGACAAAAAAAAGAAAAAAGAAACAGGGGGAGGGTATAGCTCAGTGGCAGAGTGCATGCCTGACATACACAAGGTCCTGGGTTCAATCCCCAGTACCTCCATTAATAAATAAACCTAATCACAACCCCCCCCCACCAAAAACAACAAAGAAAGAAATAGGAACACATCCCTTATACACTATAAAGGGATATAAATAACACACCTGAAATGATCTCATTAAAACAGTGCATTCAAGAAGAGAAAGAGTGGGGTTTGGAATCGAAGAGAACAAATCCTGGGTTCCAGCTTTGGCCCTCACATTTTGGTGTATTTTTTGATAGGTCACTTAATCCTTCAGTGACTCAGTTTCTGGATGAAATGACAGTAAATATAGCAGGTCAGCATATTTTCTCCTATGTGAGTTGTCTGTGTGAAGGACATCAGCAGTGTAGACCACACTGGCTCAGTGTAGACTGAGCCAAGTCGAACCTACTTTGGCGTTTCTGCTCCTTTTGTGACACGGGTGCAGATCTCACCCCGACAGGTTTGCTGCTGACCTCTGAGTCAGTTTAGGCACCTAAGGACCAACTCTTAAGCAGAAACACAAAAAAGACATCCGAACAAGGACAGGCAACTGTTCAAACACAGTGCAGACTGAATTCATACCAGATTCTGTCTCTTACATCTCTCCCCCCAAAGCAAGACTTGGCAGCCTTATAAAGTCGAGTTCAATTAAGTAAAATTTACATCACCGGAGAGCTCTCCCAGCTTCTGTGTCTAAAGTAATGACACTCAGATTGCATTAAAGCTGTCAATAACAATATATTGCAAATTATTTGATTTACATTTGTGGAACCAAGGAGTTTTTTTTAAGTTAATTTTTCAAAACAAGTC